AGGAGAGCCATTCAGGACACTTTGATAACAGTCACTCGAATGGAGAAAGCCCGCACAGAGTACAGAGGAGCTCTGCTGTGGATGAAGGATGTCTCACAAGAACTGGACCCGGACACATACAAACAGATGGAGAAGTTTCGCAAAGTACAAAGAAACTAGTTATATTTCAAAAATACTAACCAAATCTAATTATCTATCATAATTATACTTCACCTGCTTGTCTTGATGGAGATCATAGACTATCTAAAGAAGTGGACTAAGAGAGTGTGACGTCGCCGATAGCATTCGGCTCCAGAAAATGAAAGCTCAAATGAAGCTCATGAGGCTAGTAGACAAAATTGCTAAATAAAAACAGCAGGATCATGCAGAGCAGATTAATATGAACATTTTAAGATAAACATGACCAGGCCCAATGCTTAATGTAAAGCATGCTCCCTTTCTATTTGGAATACTGCGGGTAGCGGGTTAGCTCTGTCTATTTATGTCTATGATGGAGATTAGGAAGTGGTGCTATACTGTGGAACATTTCAGGAAAATCATTCACATCTCCATGGAAACAAGCAGATTGTGGACCCTCCAACAGAAAAGTTACATAGTGTACCTTTAACTCTCTTTCCTATCTCTAGGTACAATCTCAAGTCAGAGGAACGAAAACCCAATTTGAAAAGCTGAAGAACGATGTTTGTCAGAAAGTAGACATGCTTGGAGCCAGCCGCTGTAATATGCTGTCTCATTCGCTTTGCACATATCAGGTACTTTACATCTTACTTTGAATTTTAATATATAGTCACACAAATAATGAAAAATAAATAAATGTATTTTGTTTGACAGACCACTCTACTCCAGTTCTGGGAGAGGACTGCTCACGCCATGTCAAAGATCCACGAAGCATTCAAAGGCCATGTAACATACCAATTCACAACGCTTAAGGTAAATCCAGATATAACCACGTGTGGTAATAATAAAATTAAGATGCATTCCTATCTATTAAACCATGAGACTTAAGCAAACATTTCTATTCTGTTTAGGACCTGAGAGACCCTCTAGACCTGATTTCAGAGAGTCAAGAGGATAAGAAAGAGGAGGCCTTACAAAGAAACACAGATAGGTACAACTAAAAATAAGCTCCCTAAAGTAATAAGCCCTGTCCTATTTCAACACTTCCTTTTCTTCTACCTGTATCTGTACATTTCATGGCTTCATTACCTTCATTCTGTGTTTGTTATTTCTGTTATATTGCATTCAATCACGTCAGCTATGTTCAAATCAGACATGAGGCCCAATGCATGCCTGTGTTCAGCTACAAGTAAGTTATAGTGCTCTTATTGATATTTTGCACTGCCAAAATGTTTTATTTTCATTTTCAGGAGCCTGTGATTAATACAAGCATTTTTTATCCTGTCACTAACTGAAATTATTGGCTAATACTAGTTAGCTTCTAATGTTATGTTTGAGAGACTGGTTAAACAGCACAAATCAGCGCACCTGCTGTAGTTCCAAATAAGTCAGCTCCCTCTGTTCAGATTGTGTTAAAATAAAGCTTCTAATGTAGCAACGCATTCAGTTAGCATCACACCCCCAGAGAATGTTGATAACACCAGCTGCAAAGTATCAATAGGTAGTAGCAAGTCTTGTTCACTAGCTCCAAGATTTAGTTAGGAATGCTCAGGCAAATAATAAGAATGTATTCTCTTATTCAATATAAACCATAACATATTTTGTTTATGTCATAGCTTGGTGTCTTTGGATGACAACAAGGTACCAGGAAGTGGCTCAGATGCAGGTATGTACACTAAACTGCCACGTAATAAGTATTGTTATATCAGATGTGGCTGGACCAGGACTAAACCAGGACAAGCACTGGACCAAACTAGTGTACATACATCAGGACTAAACCAAGTGTGAATGCAGCCTTGAAAGAAAAGAAAAAACAAGTTTGGTTTCTCTTTTTTAGACCGCACCCCAGCATTGACGGACTAAGCCAGATTAGTGACATTGGTAAGTTGATTGTGTTAATACTACTGAGAAATATTTTAGGATACTCATTTTGACATCTTAGCTCCAGAATCGCTCCATCCCTTCACTCCACCTCCAGCTCCACAAAGTATTAGCAGTGTATCGACACATCAAGGTGACGGCGACCTTTTGCTTATGACCTGTGATGAAGCGCCTCCTCCACTGCTCCCCGATCCTGTAAACAAGCCCGCTTTGCCTGCCTTGTTGCCCCCTCCCCAGCCCGGACTCCCACAGCAGTTATGGGGCTTCCAGTCTAGTCAAACACAACAGCCCACCACCGGTAAAACTTAAAAAAGCTGGATCTGTGTGCTGCTTTTCTAACCTCTTTTCGGGCACACTAACCACACAGTTTTTACCACTTTTAACATAGTTTCTTGTGGGATAAACCTTGCTTGTTTCCTTAACTCTATTAACATGAAGTGATGACCTGTAGGAAGCTAAGCTGTAACATCTGGGTGACTACTAAAGTGAATCATTCAGAGCAGAAACCTTTCACTACTATGTAAAGGACTATTACTATTCCAATGAACAAGGTATGTTGTAATAGTCCGAGAGCCAGACTCCTTCTCCGTTATTAGTTTGCAACCTTTTTCTTACAATAATTTTTTTAAAATTTGGCTTGGGTTCATTTGAAGCTTGCAAATTGGGAAATTTTTCTGTTTACATATGAAACTGCAATTCCATGCCAATGTGTCACAGTAAATTAGTTTGTGGAGAGGATTTGTATTTGAGAATGCAATTTTTTGATATATTTTTTCTGTAAATGGTCTAATAATTGTAGACAGAAATGCATGAACCTCTTTAAGGTTATGTTATTGTATTCCTCATCTTCTTTCACATTTCATGAGTATTTGACAAAGGATGTGACTATAATTTCACTCAGAGCTTTTGTGACTGAGTTGAAACCCTGAACTCGTAGTGTCCCGAGATGTACACTCATGAAAAAAAAAGTAAGAAAAACGCGGATGGTGGTGGGGAGGGGTCTGGCTCCTGGAACATAGTATGAGTTTGTTAGTACAATGCTATATAAAAATATAAATATAAATATAAAAAGCTATACATTTCTGCTCTATTTGCTCCAATTCCTCCATCTTTCAAAATGTGATGTGGATTGCTTTGTTACTTTCTTTGGTTGAATTGTTAATATTACATTATGCAAAATTGACTCTTGTGAGCTTTTAGCCAGCTTTTAGTCTAGTTAATCAGTCTGAATGTTGTTACCTTATAAAAAACATACCTAATAATTTATTATTAGTCTGTCTACATCTCCAAAGCTCAAAATGCTCTCTTTTACCTTGTGATGTCATGTTGTAGTTTTCAAGTTAATTGCTACCATTTACTTTTTGTAGAGACTGGTAATTCCAGGGCTGAAATTATCCAAATGATTCTAGTGAAGGTGTATGGTATTTTCTAACATAGACTAAATATGCTGGGTTTGTGTTAAACATTTGTGAATAACATACCATAATTAACATAATTAACATAATTCCAGGTATGTTTTTAATAAGGAAATGTTATAGCATAGCTCAGAAAATAGCGTAATATGGGCCCTTTTAATAGTAGTAATTCTGCTTCAGGCCTGAGACAAGATGAGGACGACACTGAAAAAGGAGACATGGCATTCCTCAAAGACCTCCTGAGCCCTGGTCCTGGTTCTTCAGATGAGTTCACCAAAGAGTGGCAGGATGCTTTTGGTGTTTTCGACAGTCCCACTACCCCTTCATCTGTCCCATCTGGAGCTGCAACAGTATCAGCTAACAGTGGGGGGGCCTCCACAGCAACAACCAGACCGCCATCAAATCCCCCCAGCCCCACAGGCTTTCTGCCCTCACAGCTGCTCGACCACAGTCTCAGCTCCACAGGTTTGTTAAGCTACCCTCTGCTGGTAGAGTGTACTCACTGCATGTGATACATCTAACCTGTATTATTAGCTAACTGCATTGTGATGCTATTTGTGTCATAGAGATATAATCACTGGTCTCAGTCTAGTCTTTTTCCAGTTATAGGCATTATTTTGAAGGATAAAATATTTAGTTTTGATTTGTTAAAGCTTGTATTTTACACAAAATTCACTTGTGAGCTTTAAGGCATATAATATGCTATTACATCACTAAGAACAAGAGTGTTTTGTTTCATTCACACTTTTGAGTAATCTTTTATTATTAGTCTGTCTACATCTTCCAAGCTCAAAATACTTTGTACCACCTTGTGATGTCATGAAGCACAAGTTTTCTAGTTAACAGCTACCTTTTAACTTCACTTCAGTAAAGATTGGGAATACCAGGGCTGCAATGATCTCATATGATTCCAGTGAAGGTGTATGGAGTTTAAAAACATATCGGGGCACATTCTTTAATACCACATGACATCACAAGGTGGAAGAGAGTGCTTTTCATTTGAGAGACCTAAATATGCAAGGTTCGTCTGTTTAAACGTATGTGAATGAAATAAAACACAACTCGAGGTATGTTTTTGATGAGGAAACCACATTATAACACAGATCAGAAAATAGTGTAATATGGGCCCTTTAATTGCCATGGCAAAAGTTATCATTTTACACCACTTGAAAGTCATTGATAGAGTAATCTTTTAATCCTAACAGTTCACATAGATAATAAACTTTTATTGCAGATCTAAAACAGAACTGCAATAAAAAGCTGTCTACTGTATTTATTTAACTTTTTGATGTCTTTCATTTTGAAGGCTGGGCAACCCCTCCTATGTTCCAAACCCCACCAATGCAGCCGCCTACAAGCCAGAGCCACTCAGCACAGCCTCCACAAAGTGCAGCCAAGCCTGGTAAACCCAATGTCCAACTTATTTTATTGTCATGTGGATCTCATGAGCTAAAATTATTACAATTATTTCCAGGTGCCCCAGGATCATCCAAAGACATGTCCGCTTGGTTCAACTTGTTTGCAGATTTGGACCCACTTTCCAACCCAGATGCCATTGGACGCTCTGCAGACGAGCTGCTCAACGCCTAAACTCCCAATATCCATTTCTACTGATTCACTGCGAAAGCTAAATTGTAAATCCCCAAACCCATTTTATCTGCAAATGACTGTTAACTCTGCACCAAGCTACTAAGTCATATGCACACAGGGTTCTTATGTGAGACTACAGTGTTTATTTTGGAGCGTGTGGTGAGCTTGTTTTATTGCTGTTTGCATTGTTGGGGCGTGTGTCCTTTTGCTTTGTATACATTTGTAAAGGTTATAAGGGAAGGTTACATGTCCCTAATTTTATGTAGTAATATAACACATGCTGTATATTGAACATTGAATCACAAATACTTAACTCCTATTTGCCTAAGCTGCTGCAACTCAATATATGATGTCTTAATGTGCCCATTCGAAAAAGTCCTACATATTCATCTAATTACCATAGGAATTTTCATAGGTTAATTATTTAGGTTTCTATGGCTAGAATCTACATTTGCTAGCTAAAAATACTACACACCTACTGTTCTATACCATCTGTTTTATAGTGAAATGTTAAAGGAAATCATGTGAAGAATGAATTAATAAGATTTTTTTTTGCTATTACTGCTCTACCAAACACTATTTAAAATCCTAATTATACTAAGTATTTATTTCTATATTATTTGGCAAACATTATAAGACACTATTTTTTCAGCTGTGACATGTATTGCACAGAATACATTTGGGGGGCAAGGGAAAATCAATGTTGCTGTTAATTTCTTGTAATTATTCTACTTCTGATTAGAAACTGCTGTATCAAAACAACTGACATTTGTGAATGTTTATGCATCTCTTCACCTTGTGTTTGCTGTATATCAAATATGCATCAGGCCATATTGAAATGTCAAATCAAAATTTTCTTGCAATTTTTGGTTTGACTTTAGGAAATGAAATGGTTACAAAGAAAAATATATGCGTTAGATGTGCATTATATAACCTTTCTCTTTGAGTGTCAGCCACCTGCTTGTCTCCATGGAGATGTTGTTCCATGGTAAAGCATTAAACATATCTCTCTATCTTGCATTTATTCTGTTAGAGACATTTTATTGTAGAAACCTAGATTGAAAACATGCTTTCTTGTTGCGGGCGTCTTTCCACGTGTCTGACCTGCAACTTGGCTTGGCGGCTTCACCTGCTTGTGACCATGGAGATCAATAAGTTTAATGCTTTACAGAGGAGCATTCCACTCAAAGCAATAACATTACCATAGAGACAAGCAGGTGGTGATCTCTCAACCAGAAAAGTTGCATAATGCACCTTTAACTGTTGGTCATTGCTTTATATTTTCAGTCATTGTTTACTTTTGATTTCAACACTGAAGACAAGAATGTATTATAATGAATCACAGACGCTTTATTTAATTCAACTATGCCTTTTATTTCATTTAAGGGATTAAACATGAAATCTTGGCAGTTCTGTTTCCAATAAACTGGACAAGCAAACAATTGTTATGTGTTAGGAGCCTCATTCCAAAATCATCCACTGTGAAAATACTGCAAATTTACAAAATCTGTTGTTTTTTTTGTTTTTTTTAAAATAATGATTGTTTTTCAGCCAGTGGATTTCATCGAGGAAAAAGCTCTTGTTAAATTGATTTGAAGACATCCACAAATCTCTCTACTTCTCTGCTACAAGTTGAAACTTCCACTTCGGCTACAGAGATAGCAGCTGCAGGTTTGCTCGAATAGTGTTAGTGTGTTAGTAATCTACCACTACAACCTGAGATGGACAATGTCATCTAGATTAGTTTAATAACTCTCCCCAATTACACTCCTCCTGTCTCATAAATAAATACAATATTATTCTTCACAATGACACATGTAGTTAATTCACAGTACTCAGCGGAGGAGGGGGTCAAAGGTCATGGGAAAGGGTTTTTTATAGTACAATTGTTGACTCATTCCATTACATATCTACTGCAGCCAATAATACAAACACAGTGTGCCTCCATATTATTTACAATCCGGTACATTTCTAACCCACCTCAGCAGGCACGGTCCAATAGCATGGACATATACAAGGGGAAGGGGCGGAGCGTGGGGAGGTGATCAACCAATCAGAACACACTGCTCGCTATACCACTATTTTACTATATGGAATTAAAATAAATATGTTAGGGAATTACTTTGTCATTCATTGGTAATTATGTAAGTATAATGTTATTTTCTTTAAATATTGAAATAAAGTCAAGTTAAAGCCACACCTTACACATGTAATGTCTTTTGATACATCCCATATCAACATACCACATTTTCTAAAGCAGCACAGTAGGAAAAGATAATTTACCATGAAATTAACATTTAAAACTTTCGATACTTATAATAAATATATTTTGCATTGCTTTCTAGTAGTGTTGTGTCATGATAATAAAATTTAAATTTTTTAGGGACTGATTGACTGATTCAGTACTCAATACAGATTGTGATACTACAATGATGATAAAATGCTGTTTTTTTTAAATAGAATGTAATTTTCACACACAAAACAATAGAACTTCCTTTATGTTACCATTAGGTCTTATGCATGTTCTAATAACACCCAAAATCATACTATAACTGTTACTACTTGCTTAAATGAGTATCTAGTTTCTATATTAGTATCAGATTTTTGATACTTTCGACAACTCTACATTCTATTGCACTATTCATGTGTATTTACTGTCCAAATTTACATGTGCTTTTACTTGATTGATTCTTTGGAGAACATAGTATAATATAATAATAATAATACAAAATTAGATGTTAATAGTCCCTTTTTGATAGACTTGGTTGACCTCTCCGCGCTCCTGTCCCTGCAGGCCATAGGGAGGCAAGTTCTTCCGAGCATTAACATTCTACAACAACACAAGCTGAGCAACACATGAGGAACAAGAGCAGTAGCTAGCTGCAGAGGGGAAGCAAAAAAGAGAGAAAGATCAGAGGAGGAACAGAGGAGGGGGGGGTGGGGCAGTGACTGGGACTGTGACAGAGGGGGACTTCTGTAGCAATGGGGGCTGAGCAGACGCAGGTCGAACAAGCTGCACGTTTCTTAGCCCTGGCCAGTTCCCCATAGATACACAGCAAAGAGAGGGGAGCGCTTCACTGCTACTACTGCAAGAAGGCAACGACTGTCCACTTTACAATCTTAAACAGACTGTGGAGTGGTTTGAAAAGTATAAAACATATTTGGATTTGGTTCACAGATGCTCTTAACGGGTTGTTTAACAGTATCATTTCAGCACGCCCCCCTTTTCTGTGTATCTACGGTAACAGAGTGCACAGATCAAGATAGAAACATGATCCAAGCACTTTGTTTTGGGAAACGGATCGGTCCAAAGTATCAGGCACGTTTTAAAATGTCTTCTTTTGTGACCTTTCAAGTTTTGCTACGAAAATACATTTGGCAGCACCAAAATTCGCCTCCGTGGTCAATTTTTTGGTCGCCAAAGGAAACCGGTTAAGTTTTTTTCTTGATGGAAGGCATATTTCATTACAAGAGAAATAACTACAGATAGAAAAAGAGATATGTCCGTGGAAAGGCGCTATGGCATAATATGATGAACTAAAAGTCAGTCCTCCGCCCTTTCCGCCTTAAAATAAAAACATAACCAGCACTAAAGGTAGAAGAAAGCGATGAGATGTGAACTGCAAACTGCCGCACAGGAGCGGACTTCTGAGGAGAGGCAGTGGGTAGTGCTTCAACAATAGAAGGACATCAGAGAAAGAGCTGAGCTGGCATGCTGAAGGCAATTGTTTTGGAGCAAACGTTTTGTTGATGTCAAAAGGGGAACCTCAAAAGCTCTCAGGCTCCTCCAGCAGGCAGGGCTGAGTGGACAGAGGCACCAGGGATGGGGACAGACTGCGCAGGCCCACCCCGGGACGGAAGCTGAGCTCGGGGGCTGGCAGTAAGGGCTTGAGGATGCTGACCAGGCAGAAGGCAGAGCCGCTGTTGGGAATGAAGTTCACCTTGTTTCGGTCGGGACATAGGAAGGGCGGGATCTCCTGCAGGGGCTTGGGTCTGAAAGCACCAGACAAAACACTCAATACAAAACAATGGATCCTGTTGATATAAGAAGCAGAGAAGAAGGAGCTGTTGACATGGTTAAACTGGTGGGCGATAATAAATGGAACTAGAATACAATGTGAAGAATAGAAGATTATCATAGCTACAAAAGTGGATTACTTACTCACAGATTCCTATCGATCTGTATTGAGACTATTGTAGTGATTGATATATGAATAATGTTACTTTATATAACGTGCAGTAAAGTATAGTTTCTTTTATATGATTGTTTATTATAATACAAAGAGCAAAAAGTATGATTTGTTATAAAGCTTGTTTTGACTATGGGAGGATAATTTTAGTCTATGAAGGCCCACCAAATTCTCTTAACACAGGAGTTTTTCACCATGTCCCAGTAAGTTGTGCATTGATCTCATAAAACAGTTTTCTGCATAAGTTCAGAGGTGTGGGCTGATTGCACTCACATGTTCTCCTCACAGGCTTTGACCTTCTCACAGCCCTCCGGAGGCTCTCTCTTGAAGGTGTAGCTGTTGTTGGGCCGGGGCGATGCGGCATATTTGGGCAGAGGCGAGCAGGGGCCCAGTTCTGAGGGGGGCAAAGAGAGGAGGTCAGGGTTAGTAACTGATCCTCCCAGCAGGGGGGGCATGTGCGCTGGGGTCTACCTTTGTCCTCATACGGACTGCCTCCACTCGTGTCGTTCAGAACTGTGAGGTAGGAGGGCGAGATGGAGTCGGGGCGGCTGCTGCAGTTGCTATGGCTACCGCTCAGCCCGCCCCCTGAGGGTGTTTGGGTGTCAATACTCCGGGTGCTGCTGCTGCGCTGGGGGGCCACGGGAGGGGGAGCGCGGTGCCCATCTGGGACATCCTGAGGCTGGGGGTACAAACATGAAAATAACTGTGTGATAGCTAATCCTTCTAAAATAGGTTTATTAAAAACGAAAATAGACCAAACTCACAACAATGGGCTCCTCCTTCTCAGGGGTGTCCCGGATGATGAGTCGCTCGATCTCCTGGTTGAGCCCCTCCACACTGTTACGGAAACGAGGGGCTGATGACTTGGCGATAGGGATGGGTATCAAGATGGTCTTAGGCATAGGGGACTGTAAAAGAAACAGAAAAAATGCCTGATGAAGTGGATGTACAGTCTGCAACAAGTTTGATCAACATTTTTCAAAACTACATCAATTGCTGTTGCGTTTATTGTCCTAAATACATAGGTGGATTATTTGGTTTTCATAATCAGCTTCCAATTATCAACAGATACTAACATGAATCTAAAAGCACCAGTATCAGATGCTCTTTTATCCCTGGGCTGAATGGTAAAGCCAGTTGTGCTTTTCCATTGTGTCATGGCAGAGAAAGCAGGACAGCTGCTCCACAGACTCCACTGGGAACAGGTGTCCAACACTGTACTGTAGCGCCCGCTGAGAGGGTCATGGGCCATAAACCCTCACAGTCACAGACACACTCAAAAGTGGAGCATCTTCCATATTCTGTGAGCTAAATAAAACCTAGTCCCTCCTAACAGGGCTTCACCTGAGACTGGATGATAGTGTGGCTGCCATTGAAAGGGGACTTGCGCTCTTTATCCCTTCGATGGCGGCTGCTGCGTTTGCTGCGCTGGAGCTGCTGACGCAATTTAGCAATCTGAAAGATAGGACCGCAATGTCACATCCACTGAGGATCAATGAAGACACAAGAGAGAGAGAGACAAGAGAAACAAGAGAGAGAGGCAGGAGACACAGGAGAGACACAGGAGAGACACAAGAGAGAAAGACAGGGGGACACAGACCTCTTTGAGCTGGTCGGTGCTCCCACAGGAGGCCGAGCGTTTGTGAGAGCCCCTCCTCCTCTCATCTGCCCAGGCCCTGGGGGTCTGAAACACAAACACAGACAATCAATTACACTAATAAAAGTCTGTTTAAAACTGTTATGTACCATAATGCAGAAACAACTAATTTTCCAACATACTAAATGAAAAAATCTGATAGAATGTGTAAAGATGCTGATTTTGTAGGTTGTTGGTGTAACGCGGAGCCCATGTCTTAATGCAGCATGAGCTTCAGAACACAGTTGTTCACCTATTCAGAGATGATGCAACTGCCTGCAATGGATTCTGACCTCTATGCATTAATCACCATTTTATAACTCACTCGACAGAAACAAACACTGAGTCTCGAGAAAACACCACATATATAACCTCTGTGACATGAGGATGGAGGAGGCTGACCTGCGTGGCTTTGTCCCGCATGTAGGGAACGTGCTGGTGCTGGCTGTCGTCCTGAGGCCAGGGACCAATCAGGTGAGCACCAGCGGTCGCGCCCTGTGTGGGCCACAGCTGGACGCGATGGCAGGAGACCAACAGGAGAATGGGGAGGCAGGAGGAGGGGCAGGGCTGGGAGGAATCCACGATGCAACGTAGCACAAGACTGAAGCAGAGTGGGCACCAAAGCTGCTGATATCTACAGAGAACAATACAGGAAGAGGAGGATGTAAACAACAACATGTCAACAAATGAGACACCCGCAGCTGGTGCTGCCTGGGATTAGCCAAGGGCTGTCTGTCTAGGTTTGGGAGCACTTCCAGATTGATCCTAATCCAGCCTGCACTGCTCAGAGTGGACATGGCCCCTCCGTAAGGCTCCACGGGCCCCTGGTTAATGGAATAAAGAGCTTAGATGGGGACAGAGTGTGGGGGGCACTGAGGGCATGTGCCCGCTGCCCGACTGACCCTGATTCTGCTCTAAGTGAATGCATGTTTAACCAGCGCTATGTGTCGGACCGCATCAGCACATTTACTCTCATGTTTATTTCATGAGATCTGGGCCTTAAGTGCTTGAATAAGGAGAAAGGCTGAGGTGCCCTAGAAACACTTCTATTGATACTAATTTAAAGGTTTATTGAAATGGTTTGTTGAAATAATTATATATACAGTGCATTTTATTGATTTGGTTTACGCAAACACTAATTACAGATACACTGTATATGCAATCTGACGCTGTCCATTGCCCATTTTAAAAGACTACAACATTACCCAAACTATATCCTATGTGTATGGGGAATCCCATTCCAAATGACAAATGCACTTAATTAATAAAAGACCCAAATTCAGCAGTAATTACCCCTGTCCTAACAACAGACAAACACACACAAACATGCGGCACTGGGGGGACTAGCCGTGCACATCCAGGGGCTAAATTTGGCATGGGGGCCAGACCACATCACTGTTGCTAAGGAACGGCCCGACTGATATTCATTAACACAGCAGCATATGTGCATGTAGTAAACAGGGCAGGAGGAGGTAGGCCTCAATAGTTGTAGTACTAGTAATATGCCGGATACTGTATTTCCAGTGCTAATTGAGCTGTAGTAGACTGGTATTTGATCTGCGTGCCAGTCAGCAGTTCATGACAACAAACAGTGAGCTCATAGTAACACTACATATTGTATAAGGTCCAGTGTACAGCTTCATGAGGATGCATAGCCAACTGGAATACACAGTCTATCACCAAATGATTCTCAATATGGACTGGTACTAAACTCAGCCTACATTTATTTAACATTATTATGAATTGTTTAAAAATCATAACAGGCCCTGGCTATGTAACTACACTGAATAATAATTACATTAAAATAGAGGATGATTGTAAAACTGCTTTTATGTTAAAAAATAATCCAACTGGTGCCCTTTACACCAGTGTGCGCTAAACAAATAATGTAGGCCATTTGTGTTTACTAGAAAAACAGCGTGCACCTTACCAGCCCAGACAGTGCTATTACTCATACAATCCATCCAACAAAAAAAAAAACAACATATTTCCATTTTAACCACCAAAAGGGGAAAAAAAATATTTAACAGGCAAATTACGGAGACAATGATTTATGGAAAACATGCTTACCTTAGAGAGACGCACGGTTGGCGCGCTGGCACTCACTGGGGCATACAGACACACAGCGCTTTGGAAAATGTGGAAAAAATGGTAGAAGCGAGAAAAAGCAAGCAACAAGTAAAATAGCCCTCTTAAAATAAATAAGAAAACGTTTAAAAAGCTTATCAATAGCTTAGTATTGATACAGTAGGTGTCAAAATGGGCGTATCTGTGTTGCAGCCAGCCTCCTCCTCGTTGTCGTGTATGGATGTTTTTCTCTCCCGGCTGATGCGGCACGAAGGCGGAAAAAAGGCTATCTCGCACGATCAGGTCCAAACATGAGGTGTAGAAAAGAATAGAAATGCCAAATGTATCTGTGCGTTTGCATTAGCGGCGAGGAAAAGACGATAAAAAAGACGAGACGGACAGAAAATAGAAGAGATAGGCAGAAGAGGGCGGAGATGATGCTGGTTAGCCTTGCGCCTGACGCGACAGAGAGGACCACGGTCAAGTCGCGTGGAGGCAGCGCGCAAACCGGAACTGAGCTACAAAATAAAACTGTGCAACATTATAACTAACCTACAACACATCTGAAAATTGTTCAGTGATTGCAGGAATTTATCTTACAGGAATTCTTATTTTCTTCTATTGAAACTTGATTTAAACCTTGATTAGTCTCATAACATTTAAACAACTCAGTGACTCTATAGAAAAATGCCACTAACTTTGGGTGACCATATTTTTAAAATCAGGAGTGGCTGGCAATAATTCAATAGTGAAACGAGTGCACCATTAAGGAAAATTGTTCTGCACTTGGCCCATTCATGACTTATTCACGACTAACATGTTAGTCAGTATAGTCATATTTTCTTTGTATTTTCTGTCATTTCACCTAAACAAATAACAATTATGCTTCTCTTTACTCTTGGCAAGTATCAAAGTGGTCAAAAATAGGACAGCAGGGACATTTCATGTATAAAACTGGGGCAAATCATTGGTTTCAGATAGATCCACTGGGCCGGGGACACAGGGCTCAAAACTGAGACTGTCCCGGTAAATAGGGACGTCTGGTCACTCTACACTAACATATGTGCACCTTTATTGATTATCATACTATAATGCATTAATTTTGTCTATTATTCAATGTGTCATTTAGGCTATAAGCTACCTTTATTCTAACAATGTTCCTCAATGGGGAATTTCAATGTTGCAACGGTAAGGAAGAATAAAACGAAAAATATAGCCTGGTGAATAATATCAACTGTAGACTGTTTAATGGGTTTATAACAGGCCAAACTAAGCTATAGATAGACTCACAATTTCGCATCATGTAAATATAGATAGCAAATTGATAGATAAAAATGGGTAGCCTACAGACTGCACCTGCATTAGCTTCAAAAGTCTATATGTAAATAGCATTATTAAAAGTTATATATTTCTACAGATCTGACTGGAAATTGGAGTTCATTACGTTTGATTTTATTTCCCATCTTTTGAGTGTCTCGCTGTTTCCGGTGGTTTAGAGCTGGACGTGAGCGCAGCTTGACGCACAGGAGACAGAGTGACGTAAAGGCCCGTCGCTGGCGCTCGTGCTGATGCTGCAGTTGCTAGGGCGCGTGGAGCAGACAGGACAGGTATAAACAAGAGCACAGGAGAAATGTCGCCCCTAGTGTCGGCATCAGCAACCGACACATTGACAGGGATTTTCAGCGGGGTGAACGGGTTTAGAAATACGTAATATGACACATTTTTGTATAAATTATGATTATATATATTATATATATATATATATATATATATATATATATATATATATATATATTATATATATATATATATATATATATTATATATATTTATATTTATTTATTATTTATTTTAAGTTTAAATTCATTTTACTTCATTGTGCGAGGCTTATATGGTCCAATAAAAATACGGAACTGCATAGTAATATTTTGTAGAACAAAAATCTAGATAAATTAGACATTTGGCTGCACGATGTTGTGAAACACTTTGCTATGGGCTATTTATTGCAGTCCTTAATGACCAAAATGTCTTAACATTTGACAAATGGATATTTGGGCTATGTATTGACAACACTTTAAAAGATAATAAGAGTATCTTGCACAGGGAATCTGTAGAGCAAAATGGTAAGTGTGAATTTTTGATTAAACTTAAAAAGGATAACTGAGTTCCTTCAAAAATATTTAATACCCAAAGCTTTATGAAATAAGAGTCAGTGACAGTGAGCTGTATTGATTACTTTTGAGTACTCCAATACGGTTAATCAATATGTCGAAATCAATTCATTTAATTTAGTGTTAAAAGCAATACGAACAAAGTCAGCAAAGCCAAAACAAAAGTGCAAATAAGTCACATCCAACGCTTGGGAACAATTATTCCATACATTTATTGAGATTTATTTTCATATTGACTCAAAAATGTTTACAGAAACTGTACCGAACAGGACGCATAGCAATGGAAAGGCCATGTCCATTGAATGCATAACAGAACTTCATAAAAATGATGCAAATATGAATGCAATAATACACATACATAAGGTTTTTTTCTTACAAATTACAGATTACAAAAACATAAATGAGATCTTTTCATATGCCCTGAAGCAGCGCTGAGATTACAGAAGGAAATACAATGTTTTAGCACGCCTGTACAGCGCTAAGGCTCAGACAGTCCTCACAGACGCTCACACACAAATAAATCACTCAAAAACAGGATGAAAAAAAAAAAAAAAAAGGAGAAGCAGAGAACCTTATATCCAGCGTGCTTCAGACAGGTTTGGTTTTTTCTTCAAAGGAGCAGATCTGGGCTTTATATAGTGTTCATCAGTCACACATAGAGTCCACAGTGAGGTCAGGTGATCGCGGTACAGCAAGTTAAACAGTGGGCCATTGTAAAAGACCCCGCCGTAGATTACATTGGTGATTGTAGTGTAGTAGTAGGATTCTTGTGGAATTGTGCAAGCAGAAGTTAAGAGGAAAAATCCACTTCTTGATAATAAGGATTGAATATTTTGTACTTAAAAAGGTGTCCAGAGAAGATGTAGTAAGGGATTGTCATCCTTGGTCTCCTCTTGATTTAGGGATAAATGTAGATTGTTTACATATGATTGTGACTATTCGTAAGTGCAACAATGATTAACAAAACATGACGAGGGGGTAAAACAAAATAAAAAACATAAAAAGCATCTAAAAGCTACATCCTATTGCACAATTAAAAATTATGGTACAAAATGAATACATAAACAAAAGGAGATTGCATACAAATTAAGGAAATACAAAATTTTAATGGTTTGTTCTGTCTTTTAAGACCGACACTTCTTTTACAGAGCGTGATACAGCAAAACAAAAGGAAGGAGAACGCTCAGTGTTTGTGATTGTTTCTTATCGCCTTTGTAAGTTTAGAGACCACTTCTTGTCATGGTCGCGATAGACAGGACTTTTTTTTAAAAAAAACACTGATTTTCAAAGTGCACATACAAAAAAGGAAATCCACTTAAAATGATGCTATGCTCGTGTTTGGAACTGTTTAAGTGATGAGAACAAAAGGGGGTTGATGAAGGAACGCATGGAGACAACAGAAGCAGATGAGAATGCTGCATAGCTGGATTCCATTTAAAGCAATGCCATCGTCAAAGACACACAGGAGCAACAGACCTAAACTGTACACCATACACCACACTTGTAGCTTCCTCTCGCTGAGTTCAGACATAACCCAACCGCTCTGGTGCTTTTCAGTCCTGTGGGGGTCCGCAGTCACACGTGGGTGTCACTGCCCCCCCCTCGCAGATACAGAGCTGAACTGGACTTGGGCCGGTTCTCCCTGTGCCCTGGCCCACGGGTCGACCCGTTGTTATTGACCTCCGGCTCGTGCGTGTCTGTGGGGATGACCCACGTAGTCGGCCGCCACTTTTTCACTGAATAAGGCGTTTTGACGCGCTTCTTGATTTTATCTCCTGAACCCAGGGCCCCATCTGGCTGAACCAGGCCCTCCCCTGGGGAATAGGAAGGACACTGGTCAGATTCTAAAGTGGCACATCACAAACCAGTGGGCATGCAACAGACTAATGTAGATAATGTAGAAAAATATCTTTGTAGTGTAAAAAATGGAATCCTCATGCATTACGTGTGTGAAGAGTGCCTGAATGTGTCTTTGTACAACACAGTCTGTGGTGGTGAGCTTATAACAAGTATTTAAAAATCACCTAGAGAGGCCAGGTCCATAGTGGTGAAGGACAAGTCCAGGGAGTTGGGTCTCTCGGGCCGGCGAGCTCGTGGCTGTCGGAGCAGAGCCTCCCCTCTCATGGTGACGGGAGCGTCCCCTTGGGGGTGTGTGCTGCCCAACCCGGAACTCTCTCCTGGGGCTCCTGTGCTTTCTCTGCCTGGTCCCTCTGTATTGTTCCCCTCCTCCTCCGTGTCACTCTCCCCCTCACCCTCTCCGTTGCCCTGGCCGTGGCCTGTGTTACTGTTGTTGTTGTTAGTATTGGGTCGAGCAGAGCGCAGCGTGGAAGGGTCAAGCTGCTCACGCTCCCTGCTCAGGAGGGGCTCGTGTTCATCTGGACTGGCGGTGATGACCCCCAGGCTAAGGCGGCTGTCGTCTGACCTCAGGACCCCGGAGCTCTGGTTGAATCCTGTGGAGCCGCTGCTGATGGTGGAGATGGTGCTGGCATGGCCATTCATAGCTCCGTTCACGTGCATGTCTCTCAGGACGGGCAGGTTGTTGGTGCCATTGGGCCTGTGGGATTCTACTGCAGTGTTAGTGGGCACCGCTCCTCCAGTGTTCACCTTGTTGCCCTCCACCTGCCGTAGGTTGGACTTACCCGAGCGGCCAAACTTAAACCTCAGAGAGGAGGAAGAGGACTCTTTCTTAGCAGGCTTGTTACGCAGGGGAAGGCTGGACGGCCTCTTGGGCAGGTTCTGCTGCTTGGGCAGGGGGAAGATGGTGCTTGGAATGGGGGCGGGGGGCTCAGAGGGACCGGACGCCTCACTGGCCATCTTAATGAGAGGATAGAGCAGACTGGAGCTGCCAGGGCTAAGAGGGTCTGGAGAGCAGAACTGTTTTTGGGAGTGCTCCATCAAGTTCTCATCTGAGCTCTCTTTGAGGTTCTTATCCACCTCTTTGGGGTCCAGCTTGGTGGTCTCAAGGTCCTCCTGGGTCAGGTGCAGACACACAGGGACAGTGGCAGTTGTTGTGGGCCCCTCAGACTCAGAGATGGTGGTAGTGGTGGTGGTTGAGGGACTTCCTCTGGTTCCTGGCCCACTGGTGCTGCTGCCCTCTGGGCTGGGCAGACGAGCGTTGGCCTGCTGCTGCCTCTCCTGGTTGATGGAGTTGCGGTTCCTCTCCCCTGTTCCAGTCATTGCTCTGCCATTCACAGCATTAGTGCTGTCAGCCTGTGTGTTTTTGGCCACTCCCTCGTGCTCCTCTATGTAGGTGGAGGGGTGGTCTGTGTAAGGTCCAGACTTTGGTGTCATGCGGTTCCTAAAAGACACAGAGAATGTATGAATGAACTCAAGTTAAACACATTAAAAGTATACTACAGATGCTCCAGTCTTGTACCTCTCATTGTGCAGTGTGGTGGACATGGGGTTGAGGGTGGGGCTGACAGATTTCGATCGGTCCCAGATGAGAAGGAGTTCAGCAAGTCGCTCTTCTGCACACTGAGCAGTGAGCCGGGCCTCTGCGTCCTGGTCCCAACAGTCCTCCATCGTCTCTTTTAGTGAGCGCACAGCCTGAAAGAGCAACCACATAAATCCCACTGCAACAGAAACTCTCTCCAGCCAAAGTAACTGTAGTGGCTAAATTTGACATGTCATTCCCAGGTGCTACAATGCCTAGACATGCATTTTGTTAAGTGAGAGTACAGCACAGGTGTAGTTCATAATTTGCTGATGCTTCTTTGCCTATTATAACCCAGATTCTATCTCCCACACAAACGCACCAGACTGTTCTCTTTCCAGGCTTCTGGGAATTTGGGCCTCTGCTTCTCCCTGGACACAAGGACCTGCATGTCCTCGAACGTCGGGTGGTTCCCTGCCTCCGCTTGGAAGGCCATCTGGTATTCTGGCGCAGATTCCCCTGTGCAAAAGCGAGAATAAAATGTATTTAGAAAAGCTCCTTTTTGGCAGAAATATTGACTGGACTTATGACTGCGCAGTGATTTTTCTCTATGATAAATATGTAGTCTGTGTTCATTCACGTTGCACTATAGGGGAATGCTTATGGGGCTGCTCACCGGGGAATAGATCTGTACATCTCATGAAAGTTTCCCAGTAGACCAGTCCAAGTGCGTACATATCCACTTGCTTTAGAGCAGACTCACAATCTCTCAAATTCACTGCTCCTTCAAGCACTTCGGGAGCCATGTATCGGATTGTACCCACCTATAAATCAGAAAAGCAAGACACACATAAGGATAAACATAGATGAGAACAAATCATACAGAGATCTAGTCACTTACTTCACTAATAGCAGCGTTTTCTTCCTCTCCATGGCGTGCTGGCCTGTTACCCGTCAGCTTCATAGACAAGCCGAAATCAATGATGACACAAGTGCCGTCTGCTTTGACAAGAATATTCCGACTGTTCAGGTCCCTGTGGGAAACTGCAGGCTTGTACAAATCTGGAAAATACATGGAAATGAGTAAGACTTAACTAGGCTAATTCATCCCCTATTAAATATTTAAAACCCTGCATCACTCCCCAAATATTCTGCGGATGTGATGCTACAATGTACAAGACTTATTTGCTAATGAAAACAAATCCCCTCATTACTTTTTGTTCAGCAAACCAAGTTGCAATGTCAACAGACAGCTAAAGCCTCTAATCTAATCATCAACAATGGGATTAAGACGCTGCGTGGTCGTCTGTGCCTGTGTTATAAAACAGTCCAGCAGAGGGCACACTGAGCCGTCACTTTTTTTGACAGTACCCAGGCTCCTGCAAGTGTGTACTGCTGATGTGTGGGAGCAGAGGGGGGAGGATGACGAATGCGTGGAGGGGAAATGCTTGGAGACAGTGGCATTGGTTCCACAGAAAGCCAGTTCTTTCTATGTTTCTTTTTTTTTGGTGGTCTCTGTGTGCCATCCGACCGCTCTGGTGATCACTGTAGGTCGCCATTCTTTCCTTTTTGTGAGCTTTGCTTTTGTCACAAGCTTGCACAAACAGAATAACTACCGGTCTCCACTTTCCCAGTCTCTCCAAGTGCACTTTGTCTATTTGATGTTTGGCTGTGAACAAAATACAGAAGGGGCGAAATGCCTGGCCAGGATTGTAAAAAAAAAAACAAAAAAAAAAACTGTCAGCTTTAGCCTTTAAAGAATGATTTTATTGAACCGCAGGATATTCACTTGTCATCTGAATCCTTATCGCTCCCTTGCTTCATCCTCCCTCCATTTCTCTCTCTCTGAGGCCACAGGCTTGGGGCTAGTCTATAAATACTCTTGGCTTGTGGTGCATGCGGTGACTTAGTATGTGTAGAAAATGTGGGGATGTAGAAAAGCTCGGAGCCAAACAAAACGCACGTGGAGCGACGCTGTCAGGGTCTTAAAGCTGCATTACCCTAAATGTGCACTCACTTTTGCTAGCACATGACAGACCCCTACATTGTACTGACTACACTATATAAACAAATTTTGAACATAAAGCTATTAATTGTCTAACGAATACTCTATATAAAATGATCAATTACACTCTCAACTTACTGGTTGAACTGACCCCGTAAAATACTAAATAAATGTTGACATTCCTGAAAAGTGATTTCTTAATAACAAAAGCCAGCAACAAAAGTCAATATGGAAAAAAAAATTATAATAATAATAATTTTTACTCTCAATGTAGATTTTTTTCCCAGTATCTGACAACATCCATAATTAGCAAGCATTTCAAACTGTTTAATATCTTTCAGTATTTTCGGATGGACCTGCTGGTTTCCATGGTGATTCTATTGCTCTGCCTGGAATCTTTCAATGTGCTCCATGTGAAAATTAATGTTTTTGAATGTACTTTCTGCAATAAAATGTTGAAATAAATATAAGATAGGTAAGTGTAAAGCCAAATTGTGGAATATCTGGTAACAACCATGTTGCACAAAAGTTACATAAAGCACCTGTAATTGATTGGCCTAACCTTCCACAGTCAATATATTTTTTCCTGAATGGGATCTAGTCAAAACTGCTTGCACTTTATCACACAAGTATTGGACTTGCTGTAATAAAAATCTAACAGCGCCCCTCACTCACCTCCTTTGAAGAGCTCCGTGTGTAGGTAGGCCAGGCCGCGGGTGACGGAATGAGCCAGACGACAACTGCTGACCCAATCATTGGTCTGGGCGCTCAGGAAGTGACTCAGGGAGCCCTGGGCAAGATGGCCGACAGACGGGTCCACAAGGGCGAGAAAGGATGAAGGGAGGTGGAGAAGAAACAGAGGAAATCAAAATCAGACATGGCTTTACACAACTGACAGCTGAGAAGAGCAAGAGGAGGGGGAGAGAAAGAGCTGACTGCGGGATTGTCACTTCAAAGACGAGTCAACAGACAATATATGATAGCAGTGCAGCCCTTCAAACACAAGCAGTTTCCTTCAAGTGTGCATGCATGTCCTCCAGGGCTCAACCATCGTGGGGAAATATTGAGTTGTGATTTTCCAGACAAGTATGGCGATTTGATTTTCAATTTGTGGTATCAAAATTCTGTGAGCACTCTGGATATATCCAAGAGCCCTAACATTTGAGAGAAGACTGAAATATGAACTGCTAAACTAATTAGAATCACATGTATTTCAGAGTATGTCTGTAGAGGTCTAAAGGTCTACAGGTTAAGCAGATTTTATCAGATCCCTAGGAGACATAATTTTGTTTTGCACAGATAATACTGAATTACTACCTTAATGGAGGTCAGCAGTGACAGCCCACCCTCCCAGTTCCACAAGTAAATTTCTCAATAATTTTTGAGATAGATGTGGGAATGTGGTAACAAATATCCATAATAACTAAAATTTTTATTAAAGATCTCTTTTTTTTCAGAATCTTGCATTTTAAATGTGCTTTTGTAGCATAACACATCCGCATTATGGATATTAAGTTATGACGTAGTATGCCTTTGAACTCTTTATATTAGAATTTTTTGAAAAGTCTATGGGGAAAAATAAATGGAAAATTTACTTCGGAATCGGAGCAGGCCATCAGTGTTAAAACAGCAGTCTTTGCAATTTGTTACGATCACGGTAGTCCTCCCTGTGTTACTGATGGTTAGCGGAAATGGTTAATTTTTATTCTTCTAAATAGTTGTCATGTCATGGTTTTCCTGTGACCAATTGTTCATTGTATAAACTGGAAGCACCCCGCCTAGGACACAAAGTTGACGTTTTAGCCCCCAGCTGCTTTGTGCCCTTAAATGGAAGAAGAAGGAAAAAGAACTGAAAAAGAGATTATTTAAAACACATCTAAAAAGGTTACAGATGATAAAGTGACCAAGACATCCTTCAATCTTTTTTGTTCAAATGCGCTATACATTTTTTACTGTCAGAGAAAATTGCGTAAATGATTTGAGGTAGACTTTTTAAATGGCAGACTATGGCTATGCATTATTCAGCTTTTCAACAGAACATGGTATTTTAAAAGAAAAGTTAGAATAAGGTTAACCATATATTAGATTTGAGTGGCTCCAGTTATGCATCCCTCAAGTACTACTTTCACCAGGAAAAGACACACGAAAGGCCAATGTGGGCAGATCGCCAACACAAAATATGATTGAAAAAGTGTGCTATCTCATAATACAGTTCAGTGTTTCCCACAGATTTCGTTCAAACAATGGTGGCACAAATACTTTCCAGATTAATAATTTTCTTTTACACAATTTATCAAATTAAACTGTCACTTAATTGCGTGTTTTTCATATTTAAGCAGTGTTTTTGAACAGCGTAGGGTTCAGTTTTTAAAGGTGTATTGTGTAACTTTTCTGGTGGAGGGTCCGTCAAATGCTTTTCTCCATGTTATTGCTTTGTCTGGAATATTTGACAGCATGGAATTAAACATTTATCTTCATAGAGGTCATACTAAGACCAAGTTGCAGGTCCGGTCTGTGGAGAGGCAACACTGCTCACAGTCAGAATGCCTGTTTTTCTATGTATTTTTGAGCCATAAAAACCCCCAACCCACATGTAATTGAATAAATGTAAGGTAGAGTTGTTAATGTCATACTGGGGAACATTCCAGGCAGAGCAGTTACATATCCATAGAAACAAACAAGTGACAGAGCCCCAACCGACAAGTTAGACAGTGCACCTTTAAGTGATGCAAAGTGAGACTACCAATTTTCCTCGTAAAAATGTCTGCTAGTTTTAGTTTAGTAGTTTTAGCCGTGATGGCATATGAAAGGTCAATCAACGCTATGAAATCATTTACCAGAAATTATCGATAATCGCTGCATTCCTCCCTAATTATTATCCAACAGAATGGATAATCAATTCCAGCTCTGGCACTAACCCGTAGTTACAAAATGAAAAACGCACATAGCGACATTTCATTCTTTCACTCCAGAAATCAATCACCGGCCATTCGAGCATCCGCCACTAAACAAGATTAAATTGCATCTGTTCGTTTTTAAATAAATTATATTATCATTTACTTGAGTGAGGCATGCCCGTGGTCTCGCTGTCCTCACTTGCCCCGCGTTACTTAGAAAACCAATGAATTACACTGAAGGCAACACAACGAGAGGGCTATTTTGATTGGTTGGCTTGTGGTCAGCTGATGTTCCCATTTAGCACCAAGGCTCCACACACTCAAAGCACTTAGTTTTTTTGAACAATCACGCCTGATGCAGTTAGCGCATATGCGACAAACAGATGGGTGAAATGTTAATAGCTGCAATTTGTCTGTTTGAAATTGCTCGCTGGTGCCGATTTTTCCATAGCCAAAATACTCACATGAGGGTAGTAGTCCATGACGAGCAGGTACTCGGTCCGCCCCTCCGGTCCCGTGCGCTCGTCCGCGGCCACAAAGCGTGCAATGTTGTCGTGTTCCAGCAGGGGGAGGCGGTAGATGGAGCATTCGTTGAGAAAGTTTTGCCGATTGGCTGCAGTGAAGACTTTTACAGCTACTGGCCTCTCGTCTAGGGAACCGCAGTATACCGTGCCGTAGCGACCACGCCCAATCAGCTGCAAATAAATCAATACAGATATATGAATGAACTTAGAAAATAGAAATAGGTTAGGAGAACAGAGAGTCCTAGCAAAGCATTTATAAACAAGTCTTTCGGTGAGAGATAGAATTAGCAAGAACGCAGTGTGCCCTTAAGGTCAAAATAATCTGGTAAAAATGCCAATTGCTTTTACTTTCTGAATAGTGGCTTTAAAGAGGCATTGTGTAACTTCCAGTGATGTTTCAGTTTTGCACGGAATATTTCACAGTATGGTATTAACTCATAACTTGCAATTCATCTATCTTGTTTTTATTCAATTAGTAGTGTTCTTATTTCTGAAAAAAGAACTTGAATAACATGGAAGTAGCCTCTCCATAGATCTGACCTGTAACTTAGTGTACTGTACTGTGGAACATACCAGGCAACGCAATAACATGTCCAGCAGAAATTTGACATAGCACACCTTTAAAATACATGGATACCCTTAATGTTCTGTATAAAGCTCTCATTTCTCATTAGTTTCCATTGTTTAGTCTGTAAAAAGAGCTGCCTCTGCGCTGAGCGGGATGTGAGAGACTGTGTGCGTGTATTGATAAGATGCAAGGACGAGTTCTGAATTCAACTCCTGCCTGAAAAGATACCAGTGTTCTCGAATGGACTGAAGGTAGGAGTTTGTGCATAAATGTTGCAACAAGTTTTGTACATTACATTATTTTCACATTTATTTGTTGTTTGTCTGGTTTGTTGATTAGCAATGGTGAGTCTATCTCTTACAGAAGACATATTGATATTTCAGGTATTTAAATTTTAACATGAGAGGTAGGGCTGGGTATCATCACATCTTCAAATTTATTGCATAAACAAGTTACTTTTCTCTAAACAAGCAACAAAATTGTAGCACTCTTACAAACTAATTTAATAAAATATACCCTTGTCGATATATTGATACTGTATCATCATATTTAGTCACAATATATCAATATTTTTTGCAAACCCCTAATGACATTACCAATTTTAACCACAACACTGATCTAAAAACAAAGTAATAAAACAATAATCCATTGACTTCTGTTCTACACTACAGAGCTGTAGAGCTACAGACTCCACCACCTCATAGCATTTCAGTGCAGCAAGCATCAAACTTGAAATTCAGAACATACTCAAAATACAACTTAGAGTAACCTAACGATGTGGAACCACTGTTAAAACATAGATTAAAAAGAAATTATACCAGCCGTAAATGTTTTTGTAATTGCCATATTTTGTCAGAGCTGATAAGACTGCATGTGGCCTTAAACTATTTTTATAACAGTGAATACAGCTGTGACAGTGGCTTTTATCTGACACACTGAAAAATCCTTGTAAACGCCTTTCTGTTGGACAAAGTCAGATACGCCTTTGATGGGAGCGATGCTTTTATATTACACTGTAGCATTATTTCACAGTTTCTCCTGCCATTAATGGTATTATTAGATCTCATTGACTTCATATCACAATTTGAGCTCTACCACATCCGTATCCAGTTTAAAGTTTTTATTTCAGCGTAATCAAACTCCTATTTTTGCAGCAGGACTTGTCACATAATCTGAGCTGTTGTGATCAGGTGATAAAAGTCACATTGAGACAACAAAAGTAACTGTACACCTTGATGTATTTTGGGCAGGCGTTTTTTCACTAGTGCCTTTGCTCTCTCCTCTCCTGTCTCCCTCCGGTCTCCTTCCTGTGGGTTTGAACACTCGCTGCATGTAAAGCTATTGCAGACGGTAAAGAATACTGCACATCTGAATCAATGCTACATTCTTTTATCCTCCGAAAATGGTCGATCTGAGCAAACTGGATTTTTGGGTGTAGAGAAGGACCAATCTGCTGTTAAAAGAGGATTCTCTCTTGAATTCTTTAAAGGTACACTATGTAACTTTTTGGTTGGGGGTCCATCACCTGCTTGTTTCAATGCATATGTCATGGCTCTGCCTGGGATGTTCCCCAGTAAGACATTAAACAGCCCTACTTTACATTTATTAAATTACAAGTGGTTTCATAGCTCAAAAATATCATATCATCATCAGGCATGTGAGCGAGGCTGCTTCTCCACAGATCTGACATGTAATTTGGTCTGGTCTCCATGAAGATAGAAAGGTTTAATACCATACTGTGAAACATTCCAGACAAAGCATAACATCTCCATGGAGAACAGGATTTAACAGACCCTCCACCAGAAATGTTACACAATGCACCTTTAATTCCTTAATGCTGCTGTCATGTGATTTTTTAAAGCTCTTTCAGTTTTCAAAATACAAGCATACAAGCTAGACTGAAATTTTATCAGCAGTCTTAAAAGTAAATGTTTTAGCTGGCATAAAATAATTTGGGTTAACTGCAGGCCTGAATCCCCATAGACATATTGAGTTAGATTTACAGAGTACAGAGTGCTAGCAGGCTGCAGCACTGCACTCTAAGCTTTGGCTCTTGTCTGGGCCACAACTGATTCAATTGAAGAACAGATGCTTCTTTAACACACACTATAAATACTGTGGACTGGTCTAAGCGGCAGCACCACCACTGACCTCCAGCAGTTTGAGATTGTCCAGGTCCAGGGAGCTCTCCGATCCGGCAGCTTCCATCATGTTCAGGTTGTGCAGGCCCTGTTTACCATCTCCTGCTCACACACAGAGAAAATTACACAAGACATTTAATCCACGTACCTCCAAATGAAATCCATTTATGAAACGCCAAATTACCAAAAACACGAACAGAATATAAATGCCATGTAACTCACCGTGCATCATGCGGTAGCCAAAGTAAGCTGCTACAGCAACCACCACCATTACGGTGACTGTTGCCAGGGCGATAATTATTGTCTCTTCGCAGCGTAGGGCGCGGGTGGCTACAGGGGGGACACATCAAAACACAAGTGCAAATCAAAGTTTGACCTTTTGAAAGGAAAGATGAAATGATCCACAGCATTCCGGGCTTAATCTATGAGCAGGCATAAGCAGCAGTACAGGCAGACCCACCAACTGTCTATGTGCACTCTAACATGCTAATGTTGTGTTGGTTCATTGATTAAAGCCTCTCATAGAGTGAACAGGCGTAATAAAGAGAAGAGACTACCATAATGAGTCTGGAGTGAGGCACTGTGGCTCCAACAAACCCATCAAACATCAGTGTTTGTTTGACTGAAATATCAATTCACTACTGAATCAACATTCAACTCCTGTATTATTTCTCCATCTCGGTCTGCAAAAGTAGCACAGTAATTGCTTGAACTGTGCAGTTTTCACACAGCCTTACTCTTTTAACAGTCAATACTTTACATGTGTGTGTGAAGTATGTTTATGGACAATCAGGCATGTGGCAAAGCACACAGAGAAAAAAGCCAATTAAGCCAAACAAGCATGAAGCCTGGTCAACAGACTGGAAAGCTGAGCAAGACAGAGGATCTCCAGTGTGTGAGAAGCGAATGGAGAGAAGTATGTAAATTCAGAACAGTATGGGCAGATGATGGAAGTAAGAGCAGAGCTGAAACTGCTGCTGCTTGAGCTGTCTGCTTTTAGTGATTAATGAAAGAGAGCATCAGCTGCAAGAGCCTCTCTGGAGACTCCACACAAACTCCAGCCCTCCTGGTCCAAAAGTCTGCACTGTGCACAAACACATTGGTACAGTGCATAGAGTGGGGCTGCTGCTGAGAGACACCGTCTCTATCTATTATTGATGGCTTCTAGAGCCTTAGGGTAGCTTTGACTGACGTACTAACATGAGCACGCATGAGCACACACAGGGGGCAACACACGCATATACAACCCCAACAGTCCCCCTCAAATGTCAAGGTCAATGAGTTTTAAAGAAGAGGTGGCCCGCACAGGAAGCCCTGTGACTAACAGACACACCCCAGACACAGCGAAGATCCCACAACAGCACCATCTCTATAGAAAACAACAGTGCATTTGTAACATACTCAGACGATCGCATTACATTCAATGTTGTCACCACTTCACTTGGCACAGGATCAGTCAAAAACACAACTATTTCCGACACCCATTAGCTCTCTGTAACATGTCCAGACACGTCATGAGGCACTCTAAACAAAACATGACTAACTTTAGTGTAAGACGACACTGATCTTTCTGCCTTGTTAGCGTAACTTCATGGTTGCTCTGCTGCCCTGATGCACGAGGGGCAGCCGTCACCCTCACACCCGCAGACAGCCCCATACAGCAGACGCTTTGTAATCTGCGGAATGCAGAGCGACGACATGGACTTTTAACGTGTGTGTCTATGTGTGGGTGTATGTGTGTGTGTGTGTGTGTGTGTGTGTGTGTGTGTGTGTGTGTGTGTGTGTGTGTGTGTGTGTGGGCAGGAGAGATGGGACAGCACCCCTCCCCTTCTTCATGCACACACTTCTTTCACAGCTAAACCCTGAGAGGAAAGAACAATTAACAATACGTTGTTTTTTCTTCATACAACAAACAAGATACAGAATGTACCTTGTGCATAATGAGCTCACTATCAGCTCTTCCCATTTGCCTCTTAGCCAAAGTCAAGATGCTGAAAACCTCCAGCTTATCTCTGAAACGCACATAGCGACTCCTCTCCGAGATTCACAGATGCCAAGGTTCATTGCAAGCACCTATCGACAGGCGCTTGAATTCACCTTGTGGAGGGGGAGTGCAAAGTTGCTAAGTAGGTGTGGATTTGAGATTATATCAGACATCCTTTCATTATTTCCTCCTAGGAGCTTTGCCTTTCCATACTGTAAAGACCAGTGCCATTGTCTTGTGTACATTTTTGTTACATACCACCCTCCCAGTCCGACTGCAGAGAGGAAATGTTTGTTTACATGTTAGTTTTTCCCTAAGGAACTGGCTGTAATGGTTTGAAAGGACATTGGGTGGAACCATCTCTACGTAAGTGCTTGTGTAATAGTTTATGCTAATCTAGATAGCGCTTTTTTAAAGTGAAGCTCTTTAGTGCAATGATCTCACAGCGGCAGAGCAGGTGGGGGCTGGAGCAGGTGGTCTTTGCGCAGTGCTCTAATCACTTTCTATAAATGAGAACATGATCTCAAATCAAACTTCTATTTGTGAATACAGAGGGCTCCTATGACGCTTTCTCTTCAGTGAAACACCAGGAGGAAGTCAAACGGATTTCCTTTCAATGTATTCAGCAGGTTTACAATATCGAGGTTTATAACTTGTTTTATAACTAATGTGTGGCAAAATGTATTGTAACTCATGTAATCAATGTAGGCCTGTCACGATAATTACTATATTTACTTATCATTCAATATATGATAACTGTAATATATTTTGGGGCTCCTTATTTATCGTGGGTACACTTTCTTTGTGAAAATGGGGAGATTTGGGGTATTTTGTTGTAATAAGTGGCATAAAGTATAGTCAATTTGTTATTGTGACAGGCTGACAACAATGGATTAAAACAGGAAAAAAATCAAACATATGCCAGTCAGATTAATAGTTAATGCTGCATACTTGTATATAACACAGCAGAAACAGGGTGAAGATAGTTTCACAACGATAGATAGTATGCACAATGCTATCTTGATTGAATAAATATATTGATTCCAAGCTTCACACTTTTTGGTAAAATGTATTCCAAGAAGACAGCGAGAGACATGGATTTTGAGTAATGTGATTATAATGTTATAATATTTCAGGACAAATGAGAAGAATGCCATAGCACAAGATTAATTGAATGCTATAGATGCTGTTTATAAAAAATGAGTACTGCAGCTTTTGTATTGTTAAAAACTTCTTCGGAGCCACTTATTAAACTTCTGGCTACCCTATTAACTGGCTCCAAGCTCCATTACTGAGTAGGCCTGTCATGATAACAACACATCTTGTCAAGTGAGATATATTACTCAAGTAAATATAGACAATAAACGATAATACTGAAAACAAACCTGAAAGCAGAATTATCCCCAAAGTATTTTACATGTGCAATATTGTTAAATATCGTTGCAATAGATGAATAGCAGATTGCAACACTTTTGTATATTAGAGTAACGCTTTAGTATATTAGTATATTAGATTGTATACTTTTACTTCATAATTCAACCTGCTTAGATCTTATTATACTGCTGAAAAAATTACCAAAAACGTCCCACTAGTAGAAAGAAAATGTACCCACAATAAATATTAACCCCCTAAATTATTGTCCCATCTGCCATATATTCAATGATAAGTATTAAAAGGTATAATAAAGTAACATACAAGTAGCCCACTGCAACTACATATCTCGCAGTAGTTGTAGTAGTAGTAGTCCTGGTACTTACTAATGGGTTGTGCGGTGGTGGGGCTGGGCAGTGGAAAGTCCTCGGTGAAGTTGACATTGCACATGTCGCTGCCGCAGCAGCAGAAGTGGTAGGTGCCATTTTGGATCTGAGGGGGAAGGTTGGTCACAACGCAGCGGTCTTCACGGCACTCCAGACGATCACCCAGGTAGGGCCAGCAACCTGAGACGAGAAACGCGACAAACATTTTTAGTGAACTGGGACATTGATAGTTTAGTCTATAGTCTACATGTATTTCTATGGTGGAATGTTCAGCAGTTACCATGGTGACACAATGCAATCATTAGCAAACACTGTCAAAAATGTTTTAAGATACAAAATACAAAATGAATTTAAACAATTTTCAAATTTCCAGGAGCCTGTGCTGAATACAAGTGTTCATGGTCCTGTTAGGAGTTTGATTTTCAACAAAAATTGTGAGAGTGACTAACTGAAAAACTGCTGGATAATGCTAGCTAGCCTGTCACTGTAATTATATGTGTGAGAGACATGTTTAACAGTACACATCCGCTCCACTGTTGTAGATCTAACTAAATCATCTTTTTCTGGTCAGATTAAGTTAAAATAAAGCTCAGATTAAAGTCTAACAAGCCTCAGCCAGAGCAATGCCTATAGTTAACATCATACCCCTTGGGAATGTTGATGGCATCAGCAGCAAAGTATCAGTAAAATGTTGGCTGGTCAGAATTTAGAATATATTTTGCACTAACATTGCAAGGTTATGTTTAAAACAGCTACAATAGTGTATTTAGCTGCTGCAGAGGAATGGTAAAAACGCAGAACTACAAAGGAACTACTAAATATAATAAATGCTGAATTGTTTTAACACTGCACCATTGCATTCTGAGTATAGTTACAACTCCAGTTAACCAATTATATTGACTGTAATATGTATGTAGATAGACTGGACTTCACATTACTCAGATGAGACCACTTTTAAATGAATGTGAAGGTCCTAGTCAGATTGGGGGCCCGTAATGTCTCTTAATCAGACTAACACAACTGAATAATGCAATTTAATGTCAAACTATAGCTGTATGTACACAGTTTAATCAGATTAAGACAGACTAAGCACTGTGAGCATGCTCCGGAGACAGACAGCAGCACGGGCTAACACAATTACAGAGAAAACAGGAAAATCTGTGTTTGAAGAAAGACTCACATTTTTGACTTTATAAAAGACACAACACTAGTTAACAAATTTTATAGGGCACTTGAGTTGGTTTCTCACTCCATCCATTTGCTAGTTTTGGAATGGGATTTTGTTAAAGAAATAAAATTGTGTTTGCAATGTCAAGTGTTTTATTTAAGTAGGCTAATTTATAAATAGTCTGAACATTGAACTCACACTGCCCAAATAAAAAAAAAAAACAACAAAAAAATTCCTTGACTAAACATACACAATCAGTCAAAGATTTGGATTCACCTTCTAATTCACAGTTCTTTCTATGTTTACTACTAACCAAATCCTCAAATTACCCATCTTTTGCTTTGTCGAAAAATATTTTGTAGAGTTATTTAACTTTTTTTCTTTACAAATAATTCCATATATCATGCCTAATGTCTTCTGTATGTATATCAAATGTAAAATTTGTAAGCATATAAAAAATAAAAATATAAATATTGAATGAGAGGGTGTTTTGACTGGTAGTGTATACATTTCAATGTTTAACCAATGATGAAGTTTTATTATATCAAACCAGACCAGACCATAAAAACAGTGGAAGTGGTGCTATTACAATCCTCCTCAATGACCTCTGTATGTAAACAGTGAACGCATGGTGTGGCCTTGGTCACATGTTGCGCTTTTGTTTGTACCTTGCTTGACCGGCCGCACTTCGCCCGGGGGGCTCTTCTCCCACAGGCCGAAGCAGTGGTTGCCCTTGGCACAGCGGATGGTGGTGTTCTCTGGAGAGACTCTGCCCTCGCCCCCCGCCACGCGCTCCACCTCCAACTGCTGCTGCTGGTCTGTGAAGGCACACTCCCGCTCCTCTCCTTGGGCAGCTGTGAAGCAAACACACAAATGTACAAAAATTACACATACAAAAAGGGACAAAGCATGCTAGATTTCATAACCGTTAAATATAATAATCAATAACAAATATTTTTAATAATAGCACTTCTCTCACTTAAAGATGCTTCACACAGTTCAAGACACAACACAAATGAAGAAACATAAAAAGAAGATGCAGTTTGAAGGCATTTTTGAACAGGCAAGCTTTGCAGTAATATACAATCTTACAATTTTAGTAGACTGTGAAATTATACAGAAATATATATATTTTTATTTGCAATTCAAATGTTGTCAAAGCTCAACCAGACAGGACTAGGTCTAAAACAAAGCTATGAATAGAACGCAGGAATAAGCAAGGTAATACCTTTATTATTGCAATATCTTTAGTGTTTGTGTTAAATATTCTGTTCGCTTTTGCAATATATTCTGCAGCTCTAATGAAAAGGCGAAAAACATATATAGATTTAGCTCTTGACACCGAGGAGCTAGCTCACATCAATCTGAAAACTCACGCGGACATACAGACAGTTCTTGTCAGAGGAAAACTGAGACAGATTGTCCATACAGCTGAAAAATAACTGCCCTCAAGGTCTAGCTCCTTTCACAACCCAGAGCTCAGCAAAAAACACCTGCCTGCAGGAGAGAGTACATAAACATACAGCGCTGGCATGGACTTTTAACGCACCAAATGCTGATTAAAACATAAATAAACGCAAGAAAATGAAATGTCAGATTCTCTGGCCATTTCTAAGTAATTTATTTCTGAGCCTGTGGGTAGTGCTGAACTCACTGTGAAGATGACAAAAATAGGGAGGGACTATTTGGTTGTCACATAAATACATAGGCTGTGGGGGGAAGGCAGAGGCAGAGGCAGAGTTCTCATATAAAATGCAGTGGTGAAATGGACAGTCTTGTTGATTCGCACTAAAGGGGTAGCCACAGTCCTCCAGCGCCAATGCCAGAGTCAGTTTGTGTATACAGGAGAGATAAGGGAAAACAAGATGTGCTATGTTTTGTTTTGGTTACTCCTCAGACTCCTCCCTGTTCCTCTGTCCATGCAGAAAATAAAATCAGGGGTTAGCTTGACTGTGGCCTGCCCAATGTCAAGCTAACCTGTGTGGGCAGTGGGTGACGCTGAACCAGAGAAGGTAGCGGTAGTCCTGGAGAAGAGCCAAGTTTCTCTCCTCCTCATCCCCCCCAGAGATGAAGTGATCCTGGGTTACTCCGGACACGACCTCTGGGGCTTTTGCTAGCTACTGTTTGGTGGGAGTGACAATGCCTAGAGGAAAGCAACGTTTTTCACAGCAGTACAGAATAAGGGGTTAAGTGCGCAGCGGAATCCAGAATTTCCATGCATTACAATGAGGCTGAGGCTGTGGAGGATGCGCTGGTTGGGGTTAGCGGTTCAACTCCCAGCTGTCAGAAGCGCACTTTTAAGTTCCAAGCACTTACATAGCATTAACAAGCACTGGGTTAAAGTGGTCACCCAATTATGTGAACACAACAAGGAATAATTATTAGACGAGCACTTTTCAGATAAGCTGAAAATATAAATAATAAGCAGCTTTATTTTTAACTCTAGACTATTTTTGCTTAATTGCTTAACATTTTGTATTGATTTAAACTACACAGTATGGGAAATATAACTAGCCTTGTTTTTTTTGTTCAGAAAGTTTGCAGTACAATGTAATTAAAGGTGCATTACGTAACTTTTCTGGTGGAGGGTGCATCAAACACTTGTCTCCGTGGAAATGTTACTTCTTTGTCTGGAATCTGTGGAGAGGCAACCCCACTCAGTCAGAATGCTTGTTTTGTAGGTATTTTTTGGCCATAAAACCACCTGTAACTGAATAACGTAAGGTAGAGCTGTTTAATGTCATACTGTGGAACATTCCGCTGGTCTCCAGCTGCTACTTAACCTCTGTTCAGCTTACAGTGTGGAGCACGATATAAAGTATAATGCAACCAAGAGTATGGTCATGATCTGTAGGACCAAAGAAGATAAGCACATGAGATTTCTCTGACTTTTGCCGCTACAACAAAAATTTAATATCTGGGCCATATCATCACATGTCACATGATGATGATATGTATAGACAGTGTAGGACACTTTATGCTCAGGCAAATACTCTTATGTGTAAGTTTGGTTCTTGTACAAAGGATGTAAAGTTGTTATTGTTTAAATCTTATTGTACACCATTGTACAGAGCTCACCTCTGGACTAATTATAAAAAAGCCAGTTTGCAAAGACTGCAGGTGGCCTACAATGACGCTTTAAGGGTGCTTTTGAGGAGGCCACGATGGACGAGTGTGACTGAAATGTTTGTTACTGCACGAGTGAAGACTTTGCAAGCTGCACTTAGAATTTGAATGTACAGTTTTATCTGCAGACTGAACAAATCAGACAATGAAATAATAATGTCACTCACAAATGTGAGATTCAGTGCAATAAGATATAAAACCAATATGTGGAGACACTGGTATGATTGTCTGTTTTAAAAGTGGACCATGAGTCCGGAATAAAGATGATGATGATAATTCCAAGCAGAGCAAAGGTGATGCAGCCCCAACCAAAATGATATACAGTGCACCTTTATGGTTTTCTGCCATACTCTGGAACATTGCAGTTAAACAATAAAATTCCCATGGATACACGCCGGCAGCTGCCAGAAACGTCACATAGTGGACCTTTACAAATGTATTCACCAATTGATTCTTGTATTGAGATAGCCTTATGTTATCTATTCAAATTGTGAAAGCTATTGAATGTACTCTCTTTTTATTTGCTATATGAAGAAATCCATTCTTGTGTACTTAACATACCGTACTTTTTCTGTTAGTTATAGAGAGCATCTCACAAAGGTTAATATTATATTGTAGCATATTTTTACCATTGTGAGACTATGCGGTTTTATCTAATAACTTGATGTTAGCAGGTGGAATTTAATGAGCGTTTCTGGAAAGGTCACTAATGGGCTGAGGTACAAATGCTGTTTGAGGGCTTCTAATATTGTAGATGGAATACATTCATTTTAAATATGACTTTAACTTCGGCTTAATATTTGCTTAAGGCTTTCCAATTATAATAATCTACACTAGCTGAGGGCCAGTTTTTGTATAAGGTTTAATTGCCTATAGTAACTTATTATGACTTTTCAACCAGTTTCAAACGTTCCTGATTCAAAAAAGCTTAATTGGAAGCTTTTGCATACTCACAATAATCTGTTTATCTGAAGCAAGTCCTGGCTTCTCTCTCTACTCAAGCAGAGACTATTTTTAATTTACATTTTTAGTATTTTGAACAAGGTCAAAGAGCCGGAAGCCATTTTGAAAAAAGGACAAAAAAAAAGTAATTACAGATTTTTGCCCTTCTTTGGGTTTCTGACAACAGCTTTAAAAAACAAGGGCAGACTTAATAGCGCGCACACAAAGATCGTTTCTGATTAATGTTGTGGGGAAAGGCGAAAAAGTCAGGAGCCGCGCTGGAGACTCCTAGAGGGGGAAAAAAAATGGAAAGAATTGGACAATAGAAGGAAGTGCAAAGCTAGTGACAACACCCAGAGACATTTAGACTAACACTGACCTTCTACGCGTTCAGTTAGCGGAGTACAAATCCATACAAGACTTTCTGCTATCTTTTCCACACGGCATTAAATATTCATGTCTCTGCTACCATCCAAGCCTGTGAAATCAAAAACTTCATAACAATGCTAGTTCTGAATTTCATCTCACCGCGCAATCTTCATTCACAATAGTAAAATCGATTTCTAGGCTGAAATGGTTATCTCTGCTTTTTTTTTTTTCTTCTCCTGCCTTCTTGCGTTATAGCATTACCCAGGGTCCCGCGTAGACTATTAAATGTAAGGTATCGCGTATCAGGATAATGCGAGGGGTATAGTTGGAACTACCATCCTCCACTTTGTCTCGGTATCACTCGCTGGGCCTTATTGCCAGGAAAATGCCCCCCTCCCCCCGTAAGCCCCCCCTTAACTCTGTTCCACTCAGAAACAACACGTACCCTGCCCAGCCTCCCCCGTGATTGCCCTCAGACTTAAATAACATTATGACACACTGGCTAGCGCATTTAAATAGTCTTATTGTGCATTGAGGCGTTTGCTTTTTTATGGTCCTATATTACCTATATTACCTCATGTTTTGTTTCATTCACGCATGTCTGAGTAATCCTGGTTTATTAGTCTGTCTACATCTCCAAAGCTCAAAATGCTCTGTTCCACCTTGTGATGTCACGTCATGTACCGTTTACCTTTTAATTCAGGAGAGATTGGGAATCCCCGGGCTGAAATGACCCCAAATGATTCTAGTGAAGGTGTATAAGTTTAAAGACACAATGGAGCACTTCCTGTATTACCAGGATATCATAAAGTGGAACAGAGTGTCCATTTGAGAGGAGAACTCAAGCCTAAATATGCAGCACACACAAAACACAACTCTGTACGTTTGTAATAAGGAAACAACATTATAACATTTATCACAAATTAGCTTAATATGGGCCCTTTAAATAATATTACAACACACTGGCTGGCACGTTTAAATAGTTTTATTGTGCATCGAGCAGCAGTTACTTTTACCCAATTTCCTCCTTTATCCAAATTGATATATTGGGTTAATAGTCAAAAAACACTTGGGAGCACTTTGGTAGCCTTGGATTAGTTTGCATGGAGTCTGCTTGCTAACTGAGGTTGGCTCTTGCACTGCTGTCCTGTCTTTCTTCGTTTCTGGTTGGCTGCCAATCTTTTCTGTTTGATCTGTGATTGGCCGAAACCACTTCTTCGTGTCCCCGGTTCTGCTCCACGGACTTCTCTATGTGGGATCTTGGCTGGATCTCGCCCGCAGTATTGGATTGTGGGTCAGGGGCATTACAGGCAGGCAAGGCCATTGGAGCGAAGGAGAGGAGAAGGGAGAGAAAGAGCGAGAGAGAGGGGAGGCTATAGTCATATCAAAAGCTTTTTCGGAGTACTTTGCTTGTCGT